TAGTACCCATAGACTTAATTCGTCCAGAATTGATGCATACTGCCTTTTTTTAAAAAAACCACTACACATTTTAGGACAAGTACTCCATTAACACACATTTAAGCAGCACTTTTACACCTGCTTATATATAGTACTAAGTTGGGTTTTTTTAACTTCATGTCAAAGGCCAGATCAATTCTGAACTCTGTTGGGTAAAGCCCAATAGTCAAGTTCCAAATTTCAACTGAGTAGAGCTCAGTCATTCAAGTTTGTATGGCTCTACCACTGGGCAAGTATCCTCCCTCCCAGACCCATCAGGCTCAGGCTTCAGATACCTTCCATGGATTTGGGAGCTATCCTACATGCAAGCCCCAAGCCTGGAGGCTTTGGGGTTCAGATGCCCTTTAGTTTTGCTCCTTGCCAGAAGGCTGAGGAGCAAGCCGGGGGGGAGTTAAATGCAGTACCCCATTGCCACAGAATTGTCCAGTTTAGTTTCCCACATTTGGGGAAACTTATAGGAGTCATCCTGCCCAAAGCGTAAGGGACAGGCCTTGCCTTGAGAAAACCACCTTCATGATCATGCAGTCTTCTCTGCTAGGTATATTAGTCCAAAGCCAAAAAGTTTATGATTTACCATATAGTTCATTGGGCTGTCCCCCAAAAGACTCAGCAGCATTTCAGGCCATGGTGACTCCATGCCTGCGTATGTGCTCCATATACCTTCCACAAAGGATGCAGGTGCTAATTAGCCCCCCACTCATGACTGGAACCAGGTGTTCTTTTCATGAGTCCTGGGATCCTCCAAAAATTCATATGCAGATGTGTCGCAGGGCAACCTCGTCCAGTTCCACCTTATGGAGGGTGGGGCTACACTAATATGTGACATGCTGAGACAGTGTGGTGCCCATGCCGAGGGGGGCAGTGGGAGCACGGATCTCTGGTGGGCAGGGTGTGGGTGTGAGGGATTGTGACATGGTGTGGGGACCCCTCCAATACCCACCACACCCCATGGCACAGCCCTTGCCGGCGACAGCAGCAGTACCAGCAGGCGCTTGTGCCCCACACAGGTGCTGGCTCCCAGTGATATGCGGCTTCAGCAGGCACTGCGCATGGGGGCAAGGAGCACTGCCTGGCTGCGTGTGTACAGCTCTTGCACTCACATGGCACGGGGGGAAGCAATAGGCTGGGAGGCAGGCAGACAGAAGTTACAGAAGACGCTCTGTTTTGAGATGTTTTCATCTGACCCCTCAAGCAATGAGGGTTCAGTTTTTCATCTGACTGGCCATTTTTTAAACTGTCTGCAGCCATGCACTTGTTTGGTCATGGCTGTGGACCAGCTTCTGGCCAGATCAGGCAAAAATTGTCACTTCTGTCTGCGCCCTTGAAACTTCAATTCCTGTAGTCAGTCTTTAAAGTACTATAAAAAATTGACAACTTGAAGTGCTATATAGACTAATCAGTTGTGATAAGATCCATATACTTTCCTATATAAGTTATTTGTTTCTCCCTATGCTATATGTTGACCTCACATTTTCACTGACTTCATTTAGTGTTTTAAAAAAATTGCATATCTTTCTTTGAGAACTGCAAAATAAAATTAATTTACAAAGTGTACTGTACTTAGGTTTCTTTCTCCTTTCTTTGACCCAGTCTATACTAGAAAAATGTGCCAGTTTAAATATTTCAAGTGGATTTACTTCTTTAAATAGATTTACTTAAATTGGTATGAAACCGAAAGTAGTACACACTTAAATTGCATTGCCTTATTTGAGCTGATAGCACCCTAACTTTGGTATATCTTAATTAGGGGCTTGTCTGGGTTAAAATCTGATTGGTTTTAAAATCATAGTTAAGTAAAGAGGTTCATTTTTAGTATAGGCAAAGACCTTCCTTCTAAGTCCTGCACTGCTTTTAAGACCAAAGTGCAAGCCAGCTACAAGAACTTGGACTCCGATTTGTTTATTCTTAATTTTCTAACCTTTTGTTTAAAGGTAGCATTTTTCCCTTCTCTTTAATATAAAGGATGCCCCTAACATACTGTAGTTTGTTTAAGTTAAGAACAAGAGAACTTAAAAAAAATTTCATATACAGGGTGGTACTGCAGTCAACAAAATAAAAACACTAGGCTGGGCACTTAGAGTTCTACTTTTGACACCTGGTTTGCTGTGTGATCTTCGGTAAGTCATTACATTTCCCCATGCCCCAATTTCTCATTGGTAAAATTGGGTGATGACCCCTCCTTTGTAAAGTGCTTTGAAATATACAAATGAAATATGCTCTATAAAAGCTAGGTATTATTGTATCTTTTATACTTAAGGAAAAATGAGTCGTATATTGCAGTTTGCCCCAAACTTTTGATTAGAGGCAATGTTGCTGCTCATGCCATACTATTCTGTGAAGAAATTATTTAAGAGGAAAAACATGTAAGGAGAGATTAAATTCAAACAGAGTAGTTTATAAATATAGATGATTGTCGCAAGGCACTAAGGTGTGCCTACTTCTTCAAAAGCAGAGTCAGCTTAGGGAGCCCTGAGAACTATGCAGGGCTCCACAGCTGCAGGTTGCCTTGGTAGTAAGCTAATCACAGTATTAGCTGTCACCTGCACCTGGTGAGCTGATAGGAAGGAAGCAGGACCCTGGGCATATACAAGCCCCAGGGCTGGGGCTGGCAGGAGGTTAGTTCTCGGTCAGCAGCCAGGGGGAAGGAGCTGTTGCAGAAACACAACTCAGAGCTGCTTGGTTACCTATTTGGCTGCTGGTAAGACTAAAGGGCTCTAGGAGCTCCTAAAGTATCTGGAGCTAGGAGGCACACATTGTTGAGGGGGAAGCTAGCCGCCTTAAAGGGGCAGGGTGTGACCTGATTGTTGTTGTTATGTAATAGCCCAGGGGCTTGTATTCATGTTGTTATTTGGATCCGCTGGACCAGACTGAGGCTGTTTGGGGGGAGGAGACCTCATTGTGGGGCACACTACAGTGTGGACAGCCCAGCATGCCAGAGAGGGTGTGCAGACAGGGGCCAAAGGCCCAGTGATGACAGGAGGCTGAGCTAGATCAAGGCCTTAGAGGTACAATGTTTGAATACCACCTGTGAGTCATGGGGTGGGTAAAGGTGTGGTTTTGGAGCCATGCATCTAGCCTATAAGGCTTAGTGTCTCGAGAGGCACCAACTTGGAGCGAGACCCAGCAAGGGGTCCAAGATCAGCAGGATCTAGTGGGCTTCAACAGGACTGTGGCCACACAAACTCGTGGGCAGCCTCCCAGCTTATTATTTCAACCAACAAGATTTGGCAGGTGAGATTAGAAGGTGCCCTCAGGGCAGAGCATGCACGGTCATGGAGCCCTAGGGTCATCACAGCCATCCCTGGGGACCCCATGCCATGACAATGATGTCTATGCTCTCTGGGATGACCATTTTTATAGCCCTCAGAATTGCATCCTGGAAGTTGCATATTAAATTATTCCGTGTGCTAACAGCACTGGGAGTGTGCATGATTTGACTGTTCTCTTTTTAATTGTTTTGTGTCCAGGCAGAATTGATGAAATAACTAAAATAATGTAAAGAGCTGTTGCAACAGAAAAAACATACAAGAAGCTTTACAAAATCCTGCTTCAAACATTATTTAAGAAAATGAACATGTTCTTCATTCAGAAATCTCAAACCCATACCCATCTCTATCATCGAGGATATGTTTGTCCATGTTAGTGGCCTCACCAAACAAAAGAAAGAGGGCACTCACACTGGAGATGTTATACAGGACTCAAAGAAACCTTCCTTATTTAATATAGTTCTACACATTAAATATTCTTTTGAATTGGAGCCTAAATGCATGCTAAAGCTTTAAGGTTGATAACAGTCCTAATAATTAGATGTCTTTTTGAATTGGAGCTGTAGAGCAGTGGGTTTAGAGTAAGGTTTGCAGTGTCAGGCCAGATAAACTGGACTTGGGTCTGAGATGGGCTGGAGCTTCTGACCTGGTCTCTGCTGCTTCTACCACTTCTCCCAGCCACCAACTGGCTACACGATCATGTGGCATGGGTAAAGCCTCTCCCCCTCCCCCCACATTGTACAATGGGAGAGAAGGGCAGTGTGGCTGTTGCCCACACTGATGGCTGGGCAAGAGGGACAAATGGCAGCAGTGGTCAGAAACTTCACAGGCCTGATCTAAAAGCTCTATAGGCTAGATTCAGCTCGCAGGCCATTTGTTGCTGACCCTTGCTTTAGAGTTTATCAGCTGGGTTGGGGCTGTACTCAGCCTTGGTGAGGCCGCAGCTGGAGTATGCATCCAATTCTGGACACAGCTGGCGTACTGCATCCAATTCTGGTGAGGCCGCACCTGAAGTAGACTCCCTCCAGAGGTGGTGCAGGCACCTACTCTGGACTCATTCAAGAAGCTTTTGAATACTTATCTTGCTGAGATCCTTTGATCCCAGTTGACGTCCTGCCCCTGGGGCAGGGGGCTGGACTTGATGATCTTCGAGGTCCCTTCCAGCCCTAACATCTATGAAATCTATGAAGAAGAGATCGCATTTTCTTTTGAAACTCAGTTCTCTCGCTAGAAGTCTGTTGGCTTGATCCTTTACGTTATGTAGGGCCATTACTGTGCTCTTGCCCTTTGTTAGATCCCCAGGTAGCCTGTGGTGCCATTCTGTGATAAGAGAGATTTTTAGTTTCATTATCATAGAATCATGCGGTTATGTCTAACCAGAGTCTTCCCCCATTATTTGTCCATAGTATTACTTAACTCTGAAAACTTAAATTTTCATAACTAGGTATAACCCCCCTCCAGCAATGTAACACAGTAAATTCGTATCATGCAGAATCACTAAAGTGTCAATGACAGCACTAGAAAACAAATATATGTTATTTTTTATTAATATTTTTCTTAGCAGTTCTACCTTTCCTTGCATATATGCAATTTATATGTAAAAATGCTTATACAGTGTACTTTCTCTTTTAGAATTAGGAAGCTAAGTACATAGGATAAGATCCTGAGTATGTCCAAAAGACTGCCTTTTCCTACCTGATAGAAATCACCAGCTTGATGCACATATCCAGCTACCTCCTTATCTTGGGGATGGATCTTTCATACAAGTCTTTCAGCATTTTTGTAGTCTTCCACTTTGCTCCATGGCACAGTAGGCAGAAAGTGCTCTGTTAATGGAGCTGCTACTATAATGTCCAGCTGTCCACTGTATAACAGTACCTGGGAAAAGACAAAGGAGACAGCACAGAATATTTGAGAAGCTTTAAAGTTCAAGTAACAAAGTATAGATCTTCAGTATTCCCAATTCTGTGCATTTGTAAGTAACAGAGCTTGGTGATTTACACAAGAGGGTCTATCAGCCCAGAATCTCACACATGCAAAGAATATTTAAAGCATCTTTGCTCCCAGGATCAATACCAGGGTTGTCCATCCTAGAGGTACAGTGCAGACTTTCAGTTTTTCTATTTTGTAAGATCAACAACCAATGCCAACATTTTATTTTTCATTCTATGGCCAAACTAGCTTCAAAAGACATAAGAAATCCAGCTATTGTAAGTTTACCATTTTTTTTCCCCTGTAAACTCCCATTAGCTTCCATGAGAAGATCAAAAACAAAAGCTCCGTTCCTGAAGAAATCATGATACTAGCATGTTTTCTTGGGGGCAAGGGTTCGTTATGACTTATGTAAGTGATAAGTTCTTTTTTTTTTATTTTTATGACTAATTCTCAGTGCAAATATTCGGGTATAAGTAAAGCAGTCTTTCAAATGCAGCCACAGGTTAAATAAAATATTAAGCTATTCTCACTCAATAGTTGCAGAAGTGTAACTGAGCCAGGACTCCAGTAAAAATCATGCCAACCATCATTACTCATGTCTGTGGAAGTGACAAAGTAGCACGGATAACTTTGACTTAGATGTATATAGGCAAAAAAGATACGGATTAAAGGTGGGAGCACCAATATCCACAAAGAAACATATGATATAGGCCACTGGGTTTCCTCCCACACTCTCCGTCATGTTAGGAAGTATAGGAGAGAGGGTGAGTTGTTTATTTTTTAACTTGTGAATGGGCCAGAGTAAAGAAATGATTGAATCCTCAAATTAAGCATGCGAGTTACTTTAGAAACATAAGGAAATATCTTATCACATTAAAAAAGTTCTCCACTCCCATCAACGGTTATATACAAAATCCATACTTAAGAAGTACTCACATTTTGTATCAAAATAAAGATCCATAAAAAGTCTGGTAAAGATAAAAGTCAGGATAGAGACTTAAGTATGTCTAGAATATGAACATATGTCCTTTATACTATTTTAAAATGCTAGTTATTAAAAATCCAAAGGAGACTAAAAACCTCCTAAAAGGCTCATCCAAGCTAGTTCAGTTAAATAATTGCATTGTTTAAATGAAGGAGCTATGCTAAAAAGCCTCAGAAAAGAAATCTGCAGCTGTTATAGTCAACAGTATGGGAACAATTATATCTGTGTTATGCTCTAGTGTACAGGCTAGAACACAGAACAGTATTATACAGTCACGATTGTGCTTTTGTAACTCTTAAGAATTTTCCTGGAATTTTTTTTTAAACGCTTAAGTTATGTAAGTCTAAACTGTCATTAAGCACTGCTGTTGCTTGTTACTATAAAGTCAGTTACTGGGTCAGATGCATTTATTACAACTCACAAAATTTTTACCACCTACAGATAATCCAGCAAATAGATTCCAATGTAATCCAAAAACTAACTACAAATCACTCTCTAGAATGACATGTCTCAATCGATATATCATCACCCTGGTCAAGAATTACTGTTCATAAGAAATAATTGGAGACACCAGAATTATCACTCCTGTATTCTCAGAAAGGAACATTACATATAATATTTTTTTACAAGAAAATGCACAGTGCATCTTCAATATCCTTGTGGAAAACAGAGCTGTGGACATGCCTCCTAGGTTATAAAGTAATACAGTGTATGATGGACAAGTTAAATTCAGCAAAGCATAAACACTCTTCTCTATCATAAATGCTATTTTATTAATAGGCAGTCAAAGCTTATATTTTAATTGCTGTATCATCAGTTTACTATGCTTTACATTTTCAGAAAGTCATTTTCTTTCTTCTGTTTTTCCCTTATTTATAGGAGTGTGTGTCATTGATGATTATTTCTGCCAGTATTTTGGTCCCTATTATACAAACATGCCTTAGGCTACATATATTCAGGTATAGTACTGAACCTCAGAAACTCCATCAGCTTCCCAAGTAACAACCATTAAAATGTCTTCTGAATGTCTTGAGATATGCCAGATCCAGTATTATGGCCAGGCCCCATGTCAGCCACGCAATGCTTCTTATATCCGCAGCCATCTATGGCAAACAGACCCTATTCAGGAAGTCTGCTTGCCTCTTCATAGAGCTTTGAGAGTCCATTAGTGCAATTCATGTGCAGACCAGCTCTGAGGCAGGTTGGCAACAAGTCAGATTCTAATCATGCTTGTATTAAAGATATTCTGTCTTCCACACTTAGCAGAAATAAAGTTTGATTGAATACATATATAAATGCACTCTGACTGATGCCAGGTATTTAATTTTAAATAAATTTAAGACTTGGCTAACTGAAGCAAGAGAGATTTATTCCAGACTTCCATGGTAGAAACCAAAAAAGAGACTTATCCTTTCTTTACAAAGGAAAAATGTTAGGACTTGCAACTGGGGAGTTTCTCCCAAAAATGTTGTGAGGGGGGAAGCTAGCATTTGTCCCTATCCCAGGGCAGTAACATGGCCTCCGAACTGCTGAGGATCTAGTGTCACAAGATTTGTGGGCGGGTTTCTTCCTCCTCTGTTAGATAAATAAATAAATAAATGTTCCCTAGCCTCCAGGCTTGCAAAGTAATGTTTATGCAAAACTAAAGGCACAAACTTTGAGAGGCAAACAACAAGAATGCAAATTGCTTTTATGTTTTTGTTTGTTTTAAGAAAGTCTCCTAATTTCCGAGCTAAATTTCCTTATATTTGGGATCTACCTCATGATTTCCAAATGATCAATGGCACATTCAGCTGGTCCAGACGATCTCCACCCCAGAGTGCTGAGGAAATTAGCAGAGGTCATTGCAGGACCCCTGGCACAGCTTTATGAGCACTCGTGGTGGTCTGGTGTGGTGTCAGAGGACTGGAAAAGGGCCAATGTGGTTCCTATTTTCAAAAAAGGGAGGAAGGAGGACCCAGGGAACTATAGGCCAGTTAGTCTTACCTCCATCCTAGGTAAGCTTTTTGACAGAATAATCCTGGTGCATGTCCATGAGGGGCCAGTGGGGGAGGTTATGCTTAGGGACAACCAACACGGGTTAATTAGAGGCAAGTC